AACATATGAGTCAAAGTTTATCTGTTCCTTCTAGGATTAGAAGCTTATATCTGGGCCCCTCGATGATTGTGTTTTGACCTATGTACCGAGCCCAGTCAGAACTAAATTGATGTGTTCAGTTAAGTTCTATGTCAAACAAATCGGAAATCGAGAAACAAATGTTGGAGAATAAGTAAGACCATGTTCCATGTATTTGTCCGGCTGATATCTTGAGCAGAGGATTATATGATCACTTATCTAAAATGGCGCGTTCTAGTTCAACAGAGTTTAAAGAGCTACGATTGTTGATCGGTTCCTGAAGTCATACTTGCAACTATAGTTATTAGACTTATCCAAGTGGGAGACTGTTGGATATAGTGTCTAAGTCCATAACTATATTTGGTATGTACTTGACCCGACCCGGCATGGTCCATTTGGGTTGCACTTCACCCGAACAATTTATGGATAATATTTTGAGAATAGTCCAAGTTATGATTTATTAATATATTATAAGTTCTAATATATTAATATAAGATCATATTATTTAATTAGTATTGATCTATAATTAATCTAGGATTAATTTAGAGATCAAAGATATTACTAATTAAATATGGGCTTCTATATTTATATAGTGTGGGCTAATGCTTATTTGGAATGGGCTAGGCTTGCATGGAAAAGTCCATGGATACTCCATGGAGCTTTAACCATGGATCTCATGGAAATGAAGAGACATGGGTATTAGGGTTTACATGGATGTAACCCTAATCCACCACACTATATAAAGGAGGCTTTGGTTCTTGAAATCACACTAGTTGACACTTGTTGAGGTGAGGGCCGATTTCAAGATAGTAGTGACTATTCTCTCAAAGTTCCAAGTTTGTGGTGATTTGTGATTTCCATTTGAGGCATTCACACTATTGGTGCTAGGCTCTAAAACTCCAAGCAATCAACTACTACTACAAGGTAAGCATTTCTACTAGCTTTATTTGATTCATGTTCCCCATGCCATGCTAGTTAGGATATGAACCTTGGAAAAATAATTATTTGCATGTATCTTAGACAAACATAGATCCAAGGTTTATTAGGGTTGCATGTACACTTAGGAAGTGTTAGAATGCTCAAAACCCATCAAAAATATATACATATATAGTCAACAACATATAAAAGTATGTATGAACAAAGATACTTGTAAAACAAATGCAGAAGATGACAATGAGAGAGTAGCACCAATGACTATAGCTTCATCAATACTTCTTATGTTCACCTACAATCCTTTTGAAGCAAGAATTAATGACAAGAAGTATCAAATCAAACTATAATTTATTGTTATTTGAGTATTTTCTTCTCCACAGATCTGATCTTGAGTGAAAAAGGAACTCCAAAATTCGTGTTCCAATAACTCCATTAGGTGGGAGTTCATATGTTGTGAAAGAAAGAGTAGATAGAACAACCTTTTCACAAAATATAGATAAATTTGAAAATCGGTTAATAAATAGTACGTACAATACATTATACATATAAGAAGATTTTTGTTGATAATAGTCATTTGATATTTCTTACTTGAGCTAAACCCATACCAAAGGCAAATTAAGCAAGAGCTTTCAAACGTGCAAATGACAGCTCTAAACCCATTTCAAATAGCTGCAAATGCAATGTATAAAAATTATAAATTAGAAAATATTGATAAATTAAGAACTAAAAAGATGAATAAAGCGTATACAGAGGTTACCAAGAAAAGAATGCCCTATTCAGAAAGAACTTTAACATCTGTGAGATTTCTAATCAATCCAAATTGATTGCACAACCCCTGCAAAAAAAGAAACCAAGCATCTGAAATATGATATATCTTTTCAGTAAAAACTAATAAGGGTAAAAAGGGAAGAAATTGTTTGAAGTTTTTATAAGCTTGCAGGGCTAGATTTGACAATCTTGAAAATGGGAACCACCAAAATAGTAACAACTAAAAACGTCACAATATCCAATCCTAAATCATTGATGACTTCAACGACTATATATTGTAATTTTACATGTAGCTTTGTGATTAATCCCTATTATCCCAATATTCTACGATGGAAATGTAGTCTTTCTACTCCAACGATCAGATTTTCTGCCTTTATATATAACCTTTAAGTAAATAATCAAATTCAACAAATATTATGGTTAAAGGAAACAGAAAAGTCCTTAAAATTGTACGAAAGATCCAACATTTAAACATGAAAGTAATTGCTAACCTTACTGTCACATAAATAAGCAGTTGGTTCTATTAAAATGGTTGATTTGCCATCAATTCCACCTCCTTATCCCCTTACTACCCTTACACAAACGAACAGTAAGAATGGAGCAGGCGATCGACAAACCACAATAGAACCTGAAACAATCAATTGAAGCTGACCAAAGGAAAATTAGGGGAAAATACAATTCAGGTTTAAATTTCAAAGACAAAGGGGCAGGAAATCAACAATGGTCTTCCTCCCTTGCTCTCTCTTTTTGTCCCTCTTTATCCACACAAATCAGAATCTGAGAAACTATAGATTGAGCAGTACATCGGTTGACCCAATCGAATCCGTACGTCTGAGAGGAAGTAGGAAGATGTTAAGTTGAAAAAAATTACCTATTGCTCGACTCCTTGTCGATGTTAGAAGTTGTACGGTTGCAAGTTTTTGGCACTACGCTCCGTCAATGTCTATTTTCCATGTGAAGGTGAAGGAGATGTATGTGTTCATCCGAGCGGAGGAAGCGGTGGTATAGCAGAAGAGGAATAATGCAAGAGATGAAAATCGGGACCTTGAGGAAGTATCGATGAGGTTGGTTTCATGGATTCGAGAAGCAATAAGGTGACGGTGAGCAGTGGCAACAGAAGGAGACTATCCAGTAGTTGCGGCGGTGGAATAACTTTGAAATTCGATCCAACTCTAGCATTTTAGAACCTGATAGAATCAGGAAGAATGCAGAGAAGAATGGATGATAGAATGGGAGTCAATGTTCAATATGTGGCGATGATAGGATGGGAGTCGGTGGGAACATCGAGAAAAGTGTCTATGGCGGTGGGTTGTTAAGGACACAACACGTAATGTGCCAGCAAGCAAGCAAAGATAAATTATTTTTTTTAAAAATCCACCAATGAGATTAATTTACTGTGCATAAAGGTATTCAATACATATATATATATATATATATATATATATATATATATATATATATATATATATATATAGGGAAAGGATCAAATGAGAACGCCTAAAAGGTTAAGAACGCGAGAACAAATCTGGTATATTAAATATTTATAATCTAAGGATGTCATTAATCATTAATTTAAACAAAGTATTAAATGAATTTAATTTTTTTTAATTAAAAAAATAGAAAAGGGTATTCAAGTAATTTTAGTATCTCATCCATTTTGAATATATCATGTAAGTTTGAAAATTAAAAGAAACTGTTCCTATGTTTTAGTAATCACAGCTAACTTCTAATCTTTTGGATGATTTGATCGTATCTTGAATGCAAAATATCACAGCTAAACCTTTATACTAGACCTGATTAATACTGTTCATTTGTAAAGAGGTTATTTTGCATCCAGAACTCCGTGAAGGGTTGAAGGTGGAGGAATGTCGTCGATGATCAACCGAAGTGGAAGAAGTAAGCTTTCTAATCTTTTTTCAGTGTCGATTGACTGGAAAATGGGTGTAGTAGTGTGTTTATTTTTTTTGTTAATGTGTACATTTTAACGATTCTTAAAACCCTAGAAGTTGGGTTCTTCGTTTTTTCTTTATATTATCGATTATGAACTGTAGTGATTCTTCATCGTTGATGATTGTTGATTTAAAGGTTGTATTTTACAAATAACACGTTGGTGTATGTGAATGTTTAAATGAAAATGGTAATTGTAGATGAGTTTCGAAGTTATGGTATTCTGATATTGAATGTGTTTAAAAATTAATCGTTTATGATTGTGTTTGAATGTTCAAAGATGCTTATACATGTGTAATCGTAGTCGACTACTTTGAACTGAAGTAAGGTTACGAAAACCCAAAAATTATGGCTTTTTTTTTACTTTTGTTTTAAGAGTGTTATTGTTGATCAATGGCAAAATAAATACATTATAATTAGGACAAGAGGAGTAATTGATGTTAGTATTCGATTGTGAATGGTGTTTAGTAGAAAAATAATAATGAAGGGTATAAATGTCATTCATTACTAATGATTACTTGTAAAATCCGATTGTTTGTGCGACAAAAGTACTTTTCCAGTATTAATCATTGTTGTTGGTTGTATATTATGTATATTGTTAAAGTCATATTCAGTTGTGAATGGATACTTTATTGAGTATCTATGTGGTTTTGATCCTGTACATGATGTACTAAGTAAAGAATAATGGTGTAGGAGTCCCTATTGTGTTTTGTGAGTAAGTTAATTACACTGTTTGTTTATTGATGATTATTGTAAACATTCCTCTGTTTTTGGGTATGTGTTTATTTGTGTTTGTGTTTAGTAGGTATAATTTATGATTTTTTGAGTTGTTAATGATTTAATTATGAGTTATCAATGATTAAGGTATTTTAATTCTACTATTAGGTAGAAAGAAAAGCGAGAGGATATTACTAAAGACGGCATTCAGCAAATTCACTAATGAAGAATCCAATCCATTGCTTATTGATATTGAAGATGAAGACAATGAAGGAAATGAAATAGTACAACCTCGGATTAGAAGAGAAGGACAAAAGAAGTGTTCAACACCTAAGAAGAAAACTAAAAAACAAACTGGTGGTGATGATGATTATATGAAATTTAAAATGTTAAATATCAATTGGAATCTATAGTGATTATGTGTCTTATTTTTTGGACAGGTGTGGGGGAACGTGTTAATCGCACACCAGCTCATTCAATGCGAAGGGATCTTAAAGTTGTAGTTTTGAGCTCAGATTCAAGGAATGTACTTGTTTAAAATTAAATTTATTTAGAGTTTGATGTTGTAGTTAGTTTTAATAACTTGTGTTGTTTTGTATTTATTAATAGAAAAGAACATGAAACCCAAAGTCAATGTGAAGAAGTTTGATGGAGGAAATTCAAGGTTTTCAAAATCTAAAAAAAATATAGAGAAACAAAAAGGTATCAATGATGATTTCATGTAATGTAACTTGTATAGTAAAGTAACTTTAGTTATGATTATGTTGTTTACTTATTGGCAGGTTTGATTGAAAGTTATGACATGACAGAAGATAGTGGAATAAATAGGAAAAATGAATTGAGAACAAAAAGACGTTTTGATAGATGGAAAATAAAAGGTGATGAAGTTGTTGTTATAAACTCATGTTCAGGTAGTGTTTTTTTTTAATAAATTTAGTATAGTATTATTTTGGTAATTTATTTATAATAATTTATTGTGTTAAATATGTCTTAACAAGAAAAGATAATGTTACTGACAAGAAGCTTGATGAAGATGAAGACTCTGATTTTGAAGATGACAAACCTGTGGTAACAAGGAAAAAGAGAAGGCATTATACTTCATTCAAATATGATGACAAAGAAAGTGTGAAGAAATTTAAAAGAAAAAGGAATAAAGAAGGAAATGTAGTGAAGGCAAGAAAACTGCCTAAAGTTGTTGCAAGTGATGCAGAAGAAGCAAGGCGAATACAAGTACGAACATCTCCAAATGTTTTGTAGAGTTGTATGCATAACCTTAGCAAGGAACAAGAAGCTTATATTTCTTCTATTGGTCTGGGGCATTTTTTGAATATGAAAGTGGATGGGTGTGCATCAATTATGGTGCATTATATTGTAAAGAATTTTGATGCAGATAGGATGGTACTCAAACTTCATCATGGAGAGATACCAATCAATCGGCATGTTATTCATGAAATGTTGGGTCTGCCTCTGGGACATGTTGCAATAAAGTCCATGCCTTATAGAGAAGTCACATACGGCACGATAATTGTTTAGAGAAAACAATTCGAAGATGAAGATAATATTAGACCAAGGGCAGTTCAACAAGTTATTATGCAATCAACACGTGCAGATTTAATCTTTAAAGTAAACATCTTTGTCCTGTTGTGTAATACACTAGGTCAGTCGATGAGCATGGGAACATGTGACCTATCGATGTTATCAAAAGTCACGAAAGACCTGGATCTAAGTGACATTGATTGGTGTGGATATGTTTTTGATTGCCTTAAGGAGACAAAAAGTGCATGGAATCCAAACAGCAAAAAAGGATTCTATGTTGGGCCAATTATATTACTGCTGGTAAGATTTGTTTTAAATTCAGCTGTCATTCAATATTGGTAGACTTATGTGTGCAGATTCATTAAAGTGTATTTAAGTAATACATTTTTTATTTGTCTTTGTTGTTGTTGCTATACGTAGAAAGTGTTCGATGCGATTCAGTGAAGATTGTACGATGCAGACCAGCAATATGTTGTTGGAATGTTGATAAACTACGTGAGCGAGAAAGAGTAGAGTGTAGGACAATTGGTCTGGGTATGGGCAAATTGCAAGATCCATTTCAAGTCATCAATGAAGCATCGGAAACTGGTAATGTAGGGCAAGAAAAAGTTCAGGTAATATTTTATTGTATTGAATAATGCATATTAAATTTATTATTTGTTATTTTTGGTATAATCTAAATTAATTATATTCATACATTATTGACAGGGAAATGATGCACGAGGTGTAAGGTATTAATATAATATAATCATTACTAAATAATAAGTTATTAGTACAACAACTAATATTGTATTACTTTTCGTAGGTAAATCAAGGAGATGATATTTTTAGTGGAAGTGGGGAAAGTGTTGAAGTAGTTTACTACGTATTAACATTTGAATAATTAGTTACTATAGTATTAATTAATACTAACTGACATATTAATGTTTTTATTTGGTTTGTAATGTAATTCTATTGTGGTGACCTAATTAGACAACTATTTCAACAATAAAAGAGATGTACGACATGATATTGCAGCAAAAGAAAGTGTTGGAAGACAAAATAAATGATGTTGTCAAGAAATATCCTGAGAATCAGTTGGTCAAAGAATGGAAAAACAAATTAAATGATTTGTTTAGTGAAGTTTCCGCATCAGAGGAACCAGAACAATCTCAATGGTGGTATGATTACGAGGCTGAAACTGAACGTACGCTAATTCTAGCTACAACTCACAAACAGTTTGACAACTCCCCGATAGAAAAATGTAGTATTCAAATGTCACAGGAATATGCAGACTTCGCGAATAGATCTGGAAGAAAATCTTTTAAGAATAAACCACCATCTAAAACGGAAATGCCAATTCCTTTTTCTGTAGTACCATTCAACAATGATGAACATTGTGTTAGTAGAAGAGGGTACAGGCCTCACATGAAATCCGAATATCTGAAATCTCCTTACATTATACGGCCTGTTGATATCATCAAAGGAGTTCCAAGGCAGGAAAAACGTGTAGCAGAATGCATATTCTCACTCCAAGGAGAGCCAAAGTAAGTTGCAATTAAAATATTTTTAAAATTACTTAATTTTGTTGGTTGCTTATTAAAAATAGTATTAATTGGTCACGTCTTTTGCAGTGATATAGTTTTCCACACTTTGGATGGGTTTTCTGCTCAGAGGTTTCACATGGAATGTTTTTTTCCAACATGTGAACGATTTGGCCATGTCATTGATTGTTGGAGTCAAGTGTTGAATCTTGATGAAAGTAAACGTGCACCTGAATCGCCTCTCAGAGTTTATTGCAAGACAGATGTGACAGTATAATTTAATATTTTTCAATGTTGATTATACTATTTTTTAAATACAACATATAAATAAGTTAATGAGTTTGTAAAAATGGATCACAAAATTTGTATCTTGAAAGTGATTTAACAGAAAGTCAACGTAAAGATAAATTCATTGAGAATCTGGTGCTTTCTATTGAAGATATGGATGCAAGCCTACGTTTTGTTGGATTAGTAAGAGATATATCTCCACAGTTTACTTATGTGTTTATTTATCTTTGATCAAATATGAATATTAAATAAAGTGAATACAATTGTAATGAATAAATGTTGCAACTTTTCCTACCAATCATCCGTTCCTTCCACATTTTCCTTTTTGTGATCAATCTACAACACCCAAAGTTTGTAATCATTGACAACAACAAAGTTGATGATCTTGATGGTGAGAGATATGGTCAGTTGCCCCAAATCATTCTAAGTGATTACTAAAAATTACTTTACATAGTTAATAAAATTTCATATGTGTTGACAATGTTTTTACATTTTCAGAAAGAGTACATAGTTGATTACTTAAAATCTCAGAATCATCCAAAAGCTGAGATGTTTTCACATGTGATGCCACATAGACTGGAAATGCCTTGGAGAACAATAAACAACAACATTGATTGTGGTGTGTTTACGATGCGTCACATGGAAACATATATGGGTGGAAGTATGAATGAGTTTAAAGTTGGGTTCAAGAACGAGTCTTCTGCACAAGATGATCAACTTGTTAAACTGAGGACAAAGTATTTATACAAAATCATCACTCATGAATATAATGTGCAAAAGGATTATGTGCTGCAAAAGGTTGATGAATTCCACAAGATTCCTTCAAGACAACGTTCTCAATTGTTGGCCATTGCAAAGGAAGAAATTTACAGGAGATTGGATGATTTAAGTGAATTATGTTAAAAAAGTTATTTTAGTTATGACTTCAATGGTTTCTTTTGGATAGTTTTAAAACAATGGTTTTGTATGCTAAGGATATTAACTTGGGTTGCTGAACGTACAATAGTTACTTTTGGTTTGCTAGTTTTAGTAATGGATTAGTGATATTTTAGTAGCTATAATTTTACATTAACATTTGAAAAATTAAGTTATGTTAAAAAATGATGATTAACATTGATGGTATAGTTTTAATGTATATTCAGGAATGATTCTTACTAACAAACATTTGTTAATATGCTATGTTACTATGACCATACAATCAAAATTTTTAATAATTAAAGTGAATATATCTATATTATATAATGATTTTTGTTGGGATTATATCTTAAAGTATGTTGTTATTCAAATATTGAATAATAGCATAAATACTTGAATTATTCCTAACATATTATACTTTAAATGCAAATTGTTTTAACTTAACAGAAGAGTATTTAACAATTTTCATATCATCAATATGTTGAAAATAATTAATGTATTTATGATGTTATTCATTATTGACTATAATTAAGGGTTTAAAGTCGACCATGGTTAAACTTATGACTAAAATTTACCCAAAAGCAAACGTAAATCAATATATGATGTATAGGTGTTTTAAAAGTTAATCGTACAAACATTTGTTATTAAGATATACTACTAACAACATACAATAAACTATGAATACTGCTTTAATTGTATATGACTATAGTATATAATGATTGATGGTTTTATAATTTCAAGAAAGGAAAAGTATATCAATTCTAAGTGTGAACTGTTTTAATCAAATAAAAGAGGTTTAAATGCCAGATAATATCATTAATCTGTTAGGATTACCAAATTTCGCATTGCTATTATTTATCGTTGAATAAAACAAAACGTTAAAAATAATGAAAGTGTTTTAAGATAACATAACATACTAAATCATAGAAACATATTCTTATTCATAAATCTAATAGAAAAGTAAAATCTATTGGGAAAACGAATGGGCAATTTTAATTTGCTTTTGACTTCCGTGCAAGTCTTACTTTGCAACTCCTCCAATTATGGTTAACATATTGATTGCAACCTGTGCACATTCTGGTTTTTTCCTTTGCAGCTGCAACGGCTTTCTCAATAGCACTAACCATTCTTTTCTTAATTCCACTACCTTTGGTACGTATAGATGCAGGTGGATGGATATTTATTTCATCAGGAATGCCGCGTATTCCAAGCATCCGAATAATTTCTTCTTCATCGTTATCAGGTGATGTTTGGTTTGAACTGCCAAACTCCATTGCTGCCTGCTTCAACGTACGTGTTTTTTCAACAAATTCCAACAATTTCTCATTGCTTCTTTTGAAATGATCCAAACAATATTCAATATTGTTGTATGCCTCTGTTAGAAGTTTAAAGGTGTCATCTTCTGTTTCCATGGCAACATGTTTCATGGTAAGCAAATGGCTGGAAATTGCATCCCTTCTCCATCTTCTTAGAATATACTGCTCTGGAATCTCTTCAACATGGTTGTTTTTCAATACAACACAAATATGACGACACAAAATGCCAGTACGTATGAAGTGATTGCATGAACATTTAACTTCTTTTTCAGGCAACTTTAGTTCAACCTATATTGTATAATAAAAATAATGTATGTTAGTAACGGATTGAATTAACATATTAGTTGGTGGTTATTGCATAATATTGAAAAAAATATATGTAATTTAAAAATAATGATATAATATACTTGTATGATGACTAATGAAAAACGTTTAAACGATGAATATAACCTTGCATTTTATCTTCAACTGTTTGCTCTTATCCGTTTGTGTAATCATAACAACTTGCCACCCATCAATCTTTTCAACACTGTCGACAAAACAGTACCAGGCTGCTTTAAATATTTCCTTTTTGACCTCATAGAAATTGTTTTAGTGTAAACCGCAGCTGCATGTTCTAGTAAGCCACTTGGAAGCGTCATATTATGCTTTCCATTTTTTGTATCATGTTCTAGTTTCTGTTGAGTATTTCGTTGCTTTCCAATTGCGGTGTATTAGTTCATCATGAAATAGATAAGAAAATTACTAGAGTTAGAGTATTTATTAAAAAATGAGTTCACACTTTCAGACCTTGAAGTAGTTTTCATCAGACTGTGTAGTGGCATGTCTTTAAAATAGGCTGGAATCCAAAGTTTTCGATCCCTGTACATGTCTTTGAACCATCTTTTGTCCTGTAATTTGAATTTTCTCATAAGCAGTTTCCACCTTGATTCAAACACTTTAGGCTCGATGTAGACATTCCAAACAAGCTTCGTAAAACGCTTTCGAAAATCAGTGTTTTTCAAAAAATCGGCTGAAACCTAAAAAAGAAAATAGAAATTTATAAGATTAACTATGAATAAACAATATGTATGCTAATCGTTATTAAAAATATGTAAACTGTGTAAATCATTGCTGAATAAAACATGTTGCGTGTTTACTTAAACCAAAATATACACACCTCGTCTTGTAGTTTTTCATAATGTGCCACATACATAAACGATGATTAGAAGTAGGAAATATTGCTTCAACGGCCTGTAAAATTGTTGGATCTTGGTCTGTTAACACTAATTGAGGGTGTTTTACATGTGCTTTCAAAAAAGCTTCGAGCAACCAACAATAAGATTCTATTGACTCGTTGCTTAACAAACCTGCTCCAATGTTTATTGAACGTTTGTGGTTATCAATGGCTGTAAACGCCACAAAAATCATTCCATACATGTATCAAAAAGGTAATTAAAAACAAATTCAACATTGATTATAAACTCAAAATACATCAATATTCATATTTAAATAAAAAAAATGTATAATAAGTATAATAGCATACTTATTTGTTCGGAATGTAGCATCAAATGTTATCACATCTCCAAACTCCTTGTAATATAACTTATCGGTTTCATCCGCCCAAAACATTGTGTTTAACACACTATTAACACATTTATACTCAAATGTGTAGTTATGTAACTCATCTTTTCTCATGTTCATTTTGTCAACAACCAGCTGTGCATCCTTGTCACCTATAATGTTTCCCATCTTCCTTCTAAAATTTTTATAATCAATTGCTTCAGGGCCAACGTTTTCATAACCTCCTTTCAAACTAGCTTGTAACTTATGTGCCTTTGTTGCACCAATGTTAGATGTTGAAGAACGCACTATAAACTCCTTGTCTTTATAACTAAGTCGTCGTGCACATTTTGAATACCGTCTCTCTTCTTTAGTCTCTAGGGGGTGGTTGTGATTCTCTTGAAACTCATATATTTTACAAGAATTAGTTTGCATATGTAACCTTTCAAACTTTATCAATGACTTGAAGTCCGTGATTTTGAAGTTTGAGTTTCGTTTATTCCTTCCACTTCCCTCAGGATCCAAAGTGTCAGTTGATCTGTTAGGTATTTTACCCATTTTGTTGCACACTACATACCTTTTTTAATGGTTTTGTCACCAAACCTCGTTACTGTATTTTACCTGACACCAAAACCTGCTTTATCTGCATATAATTTATACATTTCAACCGCCTCCTCTAATGATTGATATATAGCATCTACATCTGACATAAAATCTTTAGGAACAATAGGTTTCCATAACTTGGTTTTCACACCAGATGAGTCAACAACATTACTATTGAATGATTCCTCTTCAGAATCAGTTCGATTTGTACCTGTTTTTTAAGACAACAGACAACATTAATGCGACATGCAAGACATGATATAAATTTCTATCAATTACGTATACATAAACTACAGAATTTTATAATCATAATCAACGTCTGTGAAACAGTAACCAAAGTTGAAGTGTTTACTCATTTTAATCGTATTAACGTATAATCACCAATGATTATCAAACTTAATCAACATTGTATTAAACTTAAGAAAAAATCACCAATGAGGGACTGCTGTACAACGTCTGTAAAACAGTAATCAAAGTTGAAGTGTTTACTCATTTTAATTGTATTAACGCATAATCACAAATGATTATCAAACTTAATCAACATTGTATTAAACTTAAGAAAAAATGTACAGCTAAGGACTCCTGTATAACGCATGGTGATATACACCAACATTACATAATTAATACATGCAATGTATATGACTAATCGTATACAAATATGTACTCCGATCATATTCATCATATACAAAAATTCAATAATTCTTGTAAAACACGATCTGTATTTACAAGATGTTGATGTTGTTTTCATTTTTTACCTTCACTCGCCTAATCAGATAATTGATTTCTTCTGCTGTATTGATCATCCGAATTATAGAAATCGGCGTCATCATATTCATTACAGTTGATTGCTTCTTCGCCATATTGATCATCATCTTCCGTATCATCGCTACTGTAATCAAAACAATCCGATATCGAAATTGATTTGAATCACGAATGGTATACTGCATTATTATCTTCAACTTTAACTGATGAACAATATACAAAAGTTGATTGAATGCAAAATCCCGAATTCTATACTGGAAATCCTCCCTAGAAATCGTATCTTCAATTCAATATCTGCTTGAACGATAACTATGGAATATCCCTTAATTATAGGTAAATATTAATGGATAATATATTGATTATTAATTGTATTATATTAATTAAAAATTAGATTAAATACAAATTTACTTAAATACCCTAATAAAATGATTGGCTGATAAGTGTTCTCGCGTTCTCAACCTTTTAGGCGTTCTCATTTGATCATATTCCTATATATATATATATATATATATATATATATATATATATATATATATATATATATAACAAATATCTATGAACTATGACACCATATACATCACATTATCAAGCTATAAGTGACTACATGTTTAAGATACAAAAGATTTCAACAAGAAACTTGTTAAAGGTCAAAATTGTCACGAAAACAAAAGATAAGGGTAAAAAGTGTCATTCAAGATTTATTAAGGTCCAACCATGTCCTACTTGTATAAAAAGGTGTTTTTTATGTTAAACATACTTGAAAAAGGGATAAAAATGAAAATTTAAGCTTAATGGGACAACATTTGGGCCTTATGGTTTTTGGGGCCCAAATTGCAGGGAAAATGGAGTTTGGGATTAAAAATGATATTTTTCCAAATTTTGGGATCATAAGTGAAGATAAACCAAATTTAAGGGTAAAAATAGCATTTATTTCAAATTGGACCAAAAATGTAAATTTTTCCAAAATTTTGGCCGAAAGTGTAAATTTTTACAAACAAGGGGCTGAAAATGCAGTTTTTTGCAAAACATGGTTCTAAATGTGAAAATATAACTTTTGGGTTTAAACCGTAAATTTTTAGACAGTTGGGACAAAACTGCAAATTTTTATAACTTATGGACTAAAGTATCATTTTTACAAAACTTTGGGTCTTAACTAAAAATTTGAGGATCATTGGACAAAACTGTCGTTTTTACAAACAAAATGCCTCATAATGTCAATTTGGTAAACGTTGAGCTAAAACGATCAACGAAACAAAACGAACGAACAAAATATGTTGCTAATCAATTATTGGGCTTAATGTTCATGGTACTCTGCCGTTGGACCCTAAGGGCCCAACTAAGTGTATATTGAGCCCAATGTGTTCCATGATGTGTTAATGGGCCTTGCGACACACTTACATGTTGATTTGGGCCTAATTTATGGGTTTAATGCTTGTTGGGCCTTTGTGGCCCATTTTCATGCCAATTAGGCCTAAATTACCCTTTTATTATGTTATTGGACATTTGTGGCCCATTTACATGTTAACTGGGCTTGGAATGAAAATCCACATACTTGTAGATCGTAAATATACCTCTACATGATTTATGAATTTGTATACATACCTTTGGAATGGAAGAATCTATAACTAACAAGTAAAACATTAAACATGGGAAAATTCTTATCAATCGAGAAAGGTTGAGAATCTAGTGAGACTTATCGGTTGGCACCTCTGAGTGTACAATCGTAGCCTGTAGTTATAATCAGAGTTTCATGGATGGAAAGCGGGAGTTTGTGTATAGATCTATATGGGGTGACCCCTACGCCTTAGCCGCTCGCTGCAGCTAGCCTAGGCCAGTCTAGGGCGACAACATCCTTAGCAAGACCGGCATTTGGAAAAATACCAAGACGGGCGACCTAGTCATTATCATGCATGGTTATAATGGCTCTCGTAGGGATTCAACACCACTTAAAACACATAGAAGATTAATTCTTTAATTCTGTCATCACAAAAACACTTAATCAACGAGACAAGAACCTAGACATTAAGACAGAAAATATCGGATTTTCTGGGAAAAATAGTCATATAAAATTATCACTTATTCATGATACAATGAATTTAAACTACACTCATACACGTTATAACTATGAATTTCACACATGCAATCACACTTGATTTTCACATCATATTCAAACAATTCACACAAAATATCATATTTTCTGGGTTTTTACGAAAGATACAAGGACTTTTATTCAACCATACTTATGAACTTACCAACATTATATATGTTGACCCGTTTCAAAATAACTTGTATTCTCATGTAATCGTTAAGCTGGAAGAATTGCAAGTGTGTTTGGTTTCGATTATGTAATATCTCTTGTCGTATTATAACAATTTGAACTTATGTAATTTAACAATGTACTTGATGTAAACAATGATGGTTGTATTTTGTAATGTTGGTGATGAATGTGTTATGTTTCATGTATATTCATTGTGATGATTATTCTATTGTTAGTCACACGAGCCCCCGGACGTTTCCGCCGTCTGGTTCGGGGGTGTGACATAATCAATTGTTGAGTTTGTTGTCATTTGGTCCCTTTCCTTTTTTTATGTACCCAATATACCATAGAACTTGTTGTTTATGTTCACCGTAACCATTTTGACCGGCGACCGACTATCACCTGTGATAGTCGGTCAAAAAGGTTATGGTGAACACAAACAACAAGTTCGAAAGTATATTGGATAAAAAAAAGGACCAAATGAGAACAAACTCAACAGTTAGTTACCCTTCCGCTACATTTTCCATTAATTATTCAAGTCACATTTATTAAAATAAAAAAAATCCTCTAATCTAATAAATAAGAAGATTTAGTACACGTGACATTCAATAAGCCCCCTCTCAATCGAATTTTACCACTCTTTTTTATAAAGTGAATTACCGGTATTGCCCTTTGATCACAAGTTAAGTATCGTCACATCCTTAATTTTAAAAACTTAGTTACTCTATTTATTACAACATTTAAAAAAATGGAATGTAACAACTTGAAATTTCTTTTTGTACGAATCGTCTAAAAATCAATCAATTCAGATATATTTCTACTCTCGTTAGCACTATTTTAGGTCTAATTGAGTATTCTAATCTCATTGCAATCAAGGTTTGGAACCAAGAACGATTTTTCTAGATCATAACATAGTATCCGGGCCGAACACCCCTTTGAGAGGAGTGTACGGCTTTAAACTCGAGTTTAAGGCCGTACACCCCCACTCACCCACTGACCGAAAACTCACCCTTATATAAGGGATGCTTGGCCTTCATTTATCACTTTACTCACTTCAAAGGATTTCTCTCTCTGCTCTCTCTCTCTCTCTCTCTCTCTCTCTACATCCATCGATTTTTGCTCAAGGATCCCTAAAAATGTAAGTGTTCCTTCATCTTGAATTGTATATCAATCTATTATCTAGTGATGAATCCACGTTCCTATCTCATCAATCTTATCTTTGTCTAGATCTTCTCTCTCACCAAGAACACACATTAGTTTTTAATGGCTAAAACCCCATTCTAAGCTTCCTAATAGAAAGTAACTGCATCCTATGCTTGTTATCTACTAGAAATGCTTGTTTTACACCTAAAAACTGACCCAAAAGACATGATCATGGAGGGTTTACGACCGTAAACCCATGTGCACGACCGTACACCCTTCATTGGCCGCAAACTCTAGTTTTTGGTCGATTATTGGCCTTAAAATCACCCTAAGGCTAAGTATGGGATTTAGAACACTTCCAAGGGGCTAGAAAGGAACACAAAACGCCTCAATTTGAACCCCTCTTCATGAGTGTATAGGCACAAACTCCTTGTCCATACACCCATTGGGCTGTAAACCATGGGCCACAAACTTTGTTGGGCCGGAAACCCATGACCGTACACCCGTTTGTGCGGCCACAAACTCCCATTTTCAATCACATGTGATTCTAACACTTAGTTTCAAGTGTTCCGTAGTCCCTGAGGTGGTTTCCTTCCCCATCTAAGGGTGTTTTACCCTAATCTAATACATATATGTGCTATTATATGTTAAATAGGATCCGCTTGTGTTTGAGACTTCATTTGACACTCAGCTTCCTATCGACTTACATTCGAATCCCATGTCAAACTGTGAGTTCATACCCCTACGCTTTTATGGTTTTAAACGTTTTTAGGGGGGATACACGCCAAACATAAAGGTTTTCGATGAATCAAAATTTTATGCAATTTATAGATCAATGGTTTTCATAAAGCGTTTAGATACTCTATCCCGTTTGTATTATGTGGAGCATAAGGGACGTTTTCTAAATTTAATTGCATAGTTTTCAGAACAGTTTCATGAACATATCAGTCAAACTATAATGGGTATAGTTTGGGGAATTTCATTACCGGTTTTACAGATACAAACTACTTACACGGTTGAACATATAAACTATGACAGATTTAGTTTATCCATTATTACATACATATAACAAGAGTATCATACTAAATAATTATTTTACGCATAATTATTTTACACATAATTATTTATACTCTACACAGTATACAAATGATTTTAAACATGAGAACAACAGAACAACATGTAAACTAGTTAATACAGGATTGTGAGACATCTCTTCATTGTACCCTTCGGGGTACTGGTAAATCCTCTACATTTAGTATAGCCAGAGCTCCTAGAGGGAGAGCGTGAGATTTGTGAATAGATCTATTCGAGACCGACAATCCCACACCTGAACTGTTAGCTACAGTTAGGCAGACATGCCTGGGGTGACAAATTTCGTAACATACGGCACCTAAAGAAACGTCGCAGAGGTCATCAGTCAAATTAGCATGGTTATAAGAACTCACAATAGTATAAACTAACCTTTGTTTACGGGATTATCATTCTTCAATAGTTTTATTTTAATTAATAAGACTACCTACATACTATACGGGAGGGTATTCCAGGGATATAACATCTGGTTTTATTTTAAGTGATAATACCACATTATATACTAGTGATAGCCATAGTTTTCAAACAAGAACATACATACTAGTGGTAGCCAGAGTTTTCAACGGATCATACTATACATACTGTAATCAACAAACATGATAGAAAATATTGGATTTTATGCTTTGATAACGTATTTATCATGTTTTACTGGGAACAAATTCTACAACATTTTTATTAAAAGAGGTACTCTGATTT